TATTCCAGGAATATTCCGTTAAAAACTAACGGTTTCCGTTAAAGTTAACTAACGGCGTCGGAATATTCCGTCAAACTTGACGGAAGATTCCCTGTCTTCTCCGGCGAGTCGCCGGTCGCCGGCGACTGTTCGCCGGTTTCTGGAAAAATTTCAAATTGACTTTTCTCCTTCGTTTTTCAACCAATTTCTTCGCATTTTATACCAAAATGAAGCATTTCACATGTACAATCACGTTGGGATGGTTTTAAGGCCTAAAAACAACAAGATCATACCTTCCAAAATTCCTCAAATTCGGCCAAACTCGAACCCGACGATCCCGACGTCCATTTTGTTCAAACGAGGCACTCCGAGCCTCCTTGGAACTTCCTAAGACTCGTGGTGATCTTTGTTTAACCTAAAACACAACCAAATTTAAGTTCGTGAACAGTGTCCATTCACGGGGTGTTTTGAAACTAGGATTTCAGAAATGAAACTTACCTGAAACTTATACCCCCGTGCTCGTGAAGTTCCCAAGATCACGGTGGTGATCTTAGATTGGACGTTGGTGTAGGATTGTGGCTGTTCTTGGTGTTTGCCGTGAGTTTGAGTGAGTTCGAGAGTAAGAGAGAGAGTGAGGGAGTGTTACTGAAATGAAGAAAGAGAGAGAGAGAGTGACTAGGGAGATGAGAGAGAGACATCCAACGGATTTTGGGGAGGGATTTAGGGGGTAGGACCCCACCCTAAGTCCAAACAAAATAAATTAACACATACTAATATAATTCTAACCCTAGTTTAGGATCTTAGTGTAAAACAAATACCAAATTTACGCACCTTAATCCCGTTTAAGGGCGTTTTTGTAATTTCACGTCATCGGAAATGAAATTTCCGGGACGGGCTGTGACAATACACCCCTCTAAATCTAGAGAATATAGGACATTTTCTAAATTTAAAGTTTTAACAACTCTGCTGGAGCACAGAAAATTATGCATGACACTCCAAATTTATAGTTCTGTAGATTTTCTTGGAGACGCTTTAAGCCACTGCTAACCACTTATTATGTTTTAATTGATTATTAATTACATGATTCTATTAGTGCTCCTCTCAATGAAAAGTCAGTGAATTTTTTGAAGTGTTTTTCTTTAAGTGTTATCGATGACTTGAACGTGAAAAACCATAAAATTAATTGGTTTTGTATAAATATTTTACCCGAACAAGAAAACTACACAAAACAACGTTAAAGTAGCCCTGCAAAATTTGGCATGCTTGCCTTCGTATGAGAATTTGAGGAATTGTCCTACATTTGAGAATTGCCAAACCATACAAAGGTTAATAAGGAATTAAGCCACTCTCCCTAGGTCACTATTCTAAAAATCCCCGCATAGCGCCGCCTAGGCCCCGCATAGGCGTTAGGCGATTAATGCCTAGATGTTTGAAAATTAAGAAATGACGCCTAGACCTATTGAGGCGTCCATCTAGATTGCCAAGGCACCCGTCTAGACACCTACCTAGGTTGCAACTCACTTAGATAGAAAATAGATAAATTTCCTTTTGCATTTTATTGTTTCCAATAAATTGTAAGAGGCTTATTGAGCACTTAAATAAACAAAGATTATATGTTTACTCCCCATGTTTTCATTATGTTCTAATACTTCATAATACATATGTCATTATATTTTCTAATTTATGATGAAATTAATTTATATATTTTAAGTATAAACAAACACTTATTTACACGAAATATAATAGATTTACTTAAATCCGCCTAGTCCGCCTAGGCACTAGACCCCAGCTCGTCGCTCGACTAGCTTCTAGTATCTTTTAGAACCTTGCCCTAGGTATTTTCAATTGATTTGGTGGTAAAACTTGAAGTTTCTTTACTTCACCCTAGCTGGACAATATTCTGGATTGAGAAACACTACGAAATTTAATTAAAAACTAGAGACCATCTACTCAAGAAAAGGTTCTTAAAGCTAGTGAAGCTCAATTTGTTCCTTCAATAAAGCTTATCTTAGACCCCATAAAATTATGATTATCTTCTAAATCCTTTATCTTGGTTGAAAATGATATCTTACACTCAGGGAATCGTACCTTCCACTTGTATTGCGCATGTCCTGCGTATGAGTAGTAGGATAGATCCAAAAGTTCTAATGTAACAAGATTCTTGTAATCTTATCTTAATTAATCCACTTAGAAGTATCATGATTCATCACACCTTTCTCAAAGTTTGATGAATGGGAACATGATTATGAGCATATACTGGATCTCTAGCATTGCAACGGATAATGGGGTGGGGCTCTGGAGGATATACATATTATTTTTTTCAGTTTGCTAATACTATGATGGTACAAAAACTCTAATTAAACATTAGGCTATTTCCAAAAAAAAAACAAAAAAGATGGACTGGTGAAAGTCATCAGTGTGGGCAAAACCAGTGGTAAAGTTAACAAAGTAAAATAAACTTGGTTGTAAATGCGTATAAAAATAATGAAGGGCATAAATTTAGATGAGTGGGAGATGGATCTTTCAGAAAATAGAAAATGACCACCCCATGCTAATTAATTAAGATGCACTGCAGATTTCCATTTATTTTAATTTTGGACCACTGCAGCTGTCCACTGAAAACGAGAAATGTGTATTCAAAGGACTTTTGAGTTGTGCAAGATGGCCGATACAAGTATACTTACTGGTCACAATAATAATTAAAATGGGGTTTGGAAAGCAAAACCAAACAATAAAACTCGTTTAGTAGTGAAATATTATATGATAAGCTCCATATACTAGTGAAAGATTATGTGATAAGTTCCATCTACTTGTGAAAGATTATGTGACAAGTTTTTCAGTGTAACTATTGTTTTGTCACGTAATTAGTGTCTCTAGCAATACTACTTGTCACGATAATAAAACTAGATTTCCCAAACAGCTAACTAAGCTCAAATAGAAACATAAAAAGGAAAGAATGGGATTGTTTAGTATAAATTTATATAAAGGCAGTGATTGATGGGAAAGTAATTAGCCATGTAGAATTGGGGGTGACTTAAGCCAATGCAAACATAAGAGCTAGAGAAGAGGGTGTAGGCGCTTAGGAAAACTAGACATCTAGATTACAGGACATTAAAGTGCATAAAATTGTAAAACTTATTCCCTCAAAAGAAACCAAAAGTGGGAAATGAAGGATCAACACAAGGAACCTTAAACCCTAGCTAGAATTAGATGTATAGGGTCTCAATTCATTCATGAAGGTCAGAGATATGGGTGAAGGGGCCTGTCAATTGATCCCTACCCTCAAGTACAAGAAATATGCTTGTGGAGGACGCAACATATTTAACCTCCAAACCTAAACGCCATCCTCACACTTCCCCAAAACATCAACAACAATAATATTTGAACAGGATCACCATCACCAAGTGTACTATTACTGGTTAAGTTTTCATTTTCCAATACCATCTTAATCTAAACTTCTAAACTACCTAGCTATTAACAAAAAGATAGAATCAAGAAACAAATATCTTTACACTCCTCATTAGCTCTTGGATATTTTTTCATCTAATGGTCATAATTAAAATTTAAGATGATTGTCATTAATTTAGTAGGTGATGTGGCGATGAAGACCAAAATAAAAAAAAAATAACTAAAATGAAAGATATGAGTAGTATAGTAAATTAAAAACAAAATAATTTTTTAAAAGCCTCACAGCTAGCTAACCGTATCAATTACCTCATTTTCTCTTTCACCTTTTTTTTCCCAAATAAAATAAACTTCTAGTGATGTAATAGTTATTACAAACTAGTCGCTGAAAATATGAACAACCTCTTCAACGACGAAAAATCATTTGAAGGTTGTCACCAAAAAGATTTAGCCGACCATTTTATGTTTTATCTCTATGTAAATTATAGTTTCAAAATTTTAATAATTAAGCACATGCTTATCATGGGTACAATTGCTAGTTTAATTAATTAATTGATTGTAGAGAGAGAGAGGTGGCTTTTTGTTAGTTCAAGTACGATATTTATTGAATAAGAGGAATATGTACAACCGGAGGATTGGGTGCTAACAATGTGCCTCCATAAAAATCTTACTGGGATTTCAACCCAATCGATGAGAAAAAAAGTGTCTCACACTAAAAACTTAACCAGTAATACTATCCTCAAACAGAATATCCAAAAAAGTACATCGGGAGGTTCCTCAGACCACGAGACCTGGTGTTCTAATGTCAAACTTAATCATTTTTTCTCACCACCCTCAAGTGGATGAGTTTAAATTTTAATAATTAGGTCTATTCAATACACATATCTCAAAATATAAACACTCACCACTTTATTTATCATTGTGGGATGAGTTTAAATTTTAATAATTATGTCTATTCATTAGACAGATCTTGAAATATAAATTCATTTAAGAGGGATAAATAGAGTGATGAGCATTACTTGAGGGTATATGCAAAAATTCATTTTTAATTTTTATTCTGATTGATTTTTTATATCCGTGGAGCACAGACTGGGTCAGAGGGGATTAAAATTTTGGTCAATTTGGTACCGAATATTACGATTGATAACTGTTACTCCTCCTCATATCTCTCGTCACCAACCCCTCTCTGTCTCTCTCATTAAATTACCACCATACTCCTGTGGTGAATCTCTATATATTCATGCCCTCCGCCTCTTACCACTCCCTCAGTTTTCTTCATCTACTTCCCGTTGAGCCTTCAAATAATTCCTTTTATATTTTCACTTTTCCATAGCCGGTTCAAGCACAGAGAAGAACTATATAAGGCTTTGCCCTTTCTTTTTTTTGCCCTTTTCACCCTGTGGTCCCTGGGTCCATGTATAACTATTCACATTGCTACCTTTACTTTTTGTATTTAAAGTCCTTCTCGGTCATGCCTCCTCTGCCTCTCCTAACTTTTCTCTCTCCATGGATTTAGGGTTAGATCGATATCTAGGGTTTCCTTTACCTCCTGTGAAGATGGGTGTGATGATGGATGCGGATGGAAAAATACCATCTTAATACAAGAAAGAAAAACCAGTCACTTTTTGCGGGTGGAGCATCTTCAAGATTCACAATCTTATTTGGGCTCCAATTTTAGCCCCATTTGATGATATGAGAATCTGATGATGCTGCAGCGGCAATAAATGACTAATATCATCATATGCTTTTAGGGTTCTGGCGGATCATCAGCATCATGGGGTGGAGACTGGATAATTACTATTAGACGGCACTCCAACAAATACTGCCGAGTATATTCATTTACTTTTACAATTTTTAGGGTTCTGGTGAATTTATTATATGAGATACTGGCATTACTATTGTTTTAATTTGGTTTTAAATAATACTCTAATCTACGTTTAAGCTCATTGATCTTGACATTGCTGCTTTGTTTTGTATTCCTATTGGCCTGTTAATTTGTTTAACCAGGCTAACCAGCAAACCACACATGTTTATGGTTTGGGTTCTGTGTCCGTTTGCTTGGCTTCCACCTGCACCATTTCGAGTTCTGCGATTTTGTCGTTATCGATAAAAAGAAAGATGAGGGAGAGTTTTTGAGTTCATTGATCAGAGTTTCAGATGGGGGTAAATTTTCTGAAACTGCAAACCATGTACTGATCTCAGGAATGTCTACTTTGGTCGAAATGGTACGAGAAGTCATGGACACCTTTTGTTTATTGGGTACTTCTGAGCTCTCTAGATATCCTCTTTTATTTCGGCTTTGGCTTTTCTTACTCTAGATCGATTTTTACCATCTACTATGGCGTTCAGATTTGTGACCAGCTTTTCTCCTCATAGTCAAACATGAATTAATTGGCACACAATAGAGATACACATACAATCATGATTTTGCATCTGTACGGAAAATAGTTGAGTTTTATATCTCTGCTTCAGGATATATTTTCTAATCTTTTTTACAATCTTTTGTACTCATGATGTTTTTTTGTTTGAGTATATATGATATGCTTTTGGGATCCTGAGATTTTAATTAAAAGAAAATATTTGACTTCAAGTTTTCTTTATGGATATAGTTTGATCTCATAGCACTTTAGGGTTTGGAGAAGCCAAATATTTTGCTATATATGTGGCTTGTTTTGCTTTCATAAATGTATGCTTCACATTGCTTATATAATTGTTTGTCTTGTTGATCCTTATTAATTGGGTTTTATTTTACATCTATACTACTTAGTGTACTGAATATATTGTTAATTTGATGCAATATTTGTTTAACAGTAGGACATGTAAACAAGGGAAAACTTGTATCGAATAATACATTACAGGGCTCACCTATCTTCAAGCGTGAATTTCCTTTGTCCTTGAGATATCAAGTATATGTATATATATGGAACCTTTTCTATGGGATGATGTGCATATATGCTTCAAACTTTTTGTAAATTCACATTGTTTTATAAACATGAGTCCATTTTGTTTCTTTGTATATCAGTTAGATAGCTAGATGACACCTTTTATTTATCATTGTGGAATGGTGATTCGCTCTTGGGATCTCTTCAATGGTTGAGAAGAGAAGTATCAACAGACCAAAACTACTATGGTTTGATGACACCTTGCATCTGTGTTGGTTGGTTAAACGGATCTTACAGTTGTTCTTATGGGGGAATTTTTAGGGTTATATATTTGTGTTCAACTTACAGTCGTGAGAAAATCCGCCTTCTGTTATCATGTTTGGTTCTTCTATAATATACCTCCCTTCCTATGAACTAATTAATGATGCGTTTTGAATCATACCTTGTAATCTGATTTATTCCCTGCAATCAATAAGTTGGTCAAAATAAACTTGATATGATTTTCCATAAGTTGGTGAAAAGTGACTCACAATATTTAATATGGGTTTGGCCTTGAATCAGTACTGGACGCAGCTTCCAAGAATTCCCTCTCCTAATTTTCTTCTGAGGAAGATTTTGTGCTCCTTTTTTATCTTCATGCACTCTTTAGGCACAAGATTATATTACGAATTGTAAATTAAGGTAAAAAAACAAGTAGAGGAGTACATGAGTCTTATTTCTAGGCATAAGATTAAATTACGAACCGTAAATTAAGGTACAGAAACAAGTAGAGGAGTGGATGAGTAGAAAAAGAGCTAATTGCCTTTCCCTTTCTCTAATTCTGCTACATTTGTTTTTGCCTTAAATCTTTAGGATCACAAATTGTACAGGGTGGGTTGTAAGTTGTGGTCTTGTTGGGCGAGGCTAAACAGCTCAAAAGACCTTTTGGGTGATAGGAAATTTAATGGGCTATATTTTGGTCCTTCTGTAGAATTTGTATATTTAGGGAAGTCATCCTTTATACCCATATCTTAAACTTAGGCTCACAAGTAATTTCTGTTGAAAGTGTTTTTTCTACAAAGTAAAAATAATTTATATAAATTTAAGTTATTTATGGAAAAGCAGTTGATTGTATTTTTTTTTAGCACTATAAAGTATTTATATAAACCAAAAACACTCTCTTCATATGAAAGAGAAAGACTTCGACAAAAAAAAAAAAAAAAGAAAGAGAAAGACACTTTTAGCCATTTTAAAAGTTATAAACATGCCCTAAATAACACACGTGGCTATTTGCAACAGAATTAAAAGATCAGGTTAGTTGCAAAAAACATGATGAATCAAGGAACAAGAACCAAAATTAAAACACTATAAGGCACTAAATCGACTTAGTATCGATTCCTTGTAGCTGTAATCAATTTTCGTAATTTGATTAATTAATTTGTTTAGAAGTGAAAACACATGAAAACACATATTGGAATGAACATGTCTCCTTTCTCTCTCATTCTTGCTTGAAAGTGGAATAAGTTTTGGTTTCTACTTGGTTGTTGTTAATAATTTTGGTTTATATTGTGTTTGTTTTTTTAGTTTTATGTTGGTCATATGCACATGTTGCTCACTTGGAACTACATAGTCTTTCAACTTGGTCAAATTAGACAAGGATCTAAATATAATTTAATCATCATTAGAAATAAAATCTTGCTATGCTTATACAATAATACAAATCTATCAGAAGCGTATTCTTGCACTTCTGATAAATACATATTATTCTTATTCTTATTCTTATTAAATAGCTAAATAGCACGCGACCGAATAGGACAACATATATGCATGTTAATTAATTTCAATCAATCACATTGCTATTTAATCAAACAATCCTAGAACTTTGTAGAAACCATGTGCTGATATAAGAAGATATCTTGTAAACCCTGGATAAAAGATCATTATTCTTATTTTTAAGCTGCAAATATGCAAATCTCATGGTATCAAAACCAAGATTAAAGATTCTATTTGTTAATTTTACCATCTGCACTATGCAAATCGCTCTTATGGTCGCTGTTAAGAGTTTTTCCAAGTTGATAGTATGCAGTAGCATAAACAACTTTTCTCTCAATCATTAGCCCTAATCACTAAGCTTATGCAAAAAAAAAAAGATAGCATGTAGAAAGATTTCAAGGGTATATATATATGTTCCCTCATTCAATTAGTAACATGGCATAACTGAGCTGCTAATGATTGAGTTTGGTGCGGGAAAAAGGAGGGCCCAACAGATTGATGCATCGTATTGAACTTTTGGTTCATAGAAATTAGGCAACTTTAACGAAAAACTCCCGGTACTGTTCATTTTAACGAAAAATCACATTTTTACACTAAAAAGTCAATCCTGGTACTATTCACTTTACCATTTATTTTGTTCTTATCGTTAAAACTCAAAGTTTTCAAACCCTTTTCATTAGTTTTCCTTAGAAGTTAAGTAGTCTATGCAGAAACTGTTGCTGCAAAAGAAGATAATAACGTTGAATCTGTTGGTATATGGTCCAACCCATGATGAATGTTCTAGATTATTCTAGTAAGCAAGTGAGGTGGCTGGAGCATGCTAGACAATTCTAATAAGTTATTAAGTTGGTGGAAGAAGCTAGAAAGTACTAGCTTCCTTGGTTGCAAATGGAAAGATCTAGAAGCTACAGTTTTGTGGCTAGTCTAGAATTAAGCTAGAGGTTTGTAGAATATAATAGAAACTATAAACTAGTTCTAGTTTGTAGAAGGAACTAGAAACTAGTAGAGTGTCAAGTCCTCACCTATAAATAGGGGTGTGATGTTCTAGTGATGTAACCAATCAAGAAAGAAGCGAGTAGAAAATGATCAAGTCCAAAGCTAGAGTTCCACTCCAAGAGTGCGAGTAGAAACTGTTCCACTACACATTGTGAGTGAAGTTTAGAGTGATAGAAAATGTGTTATACTTTCCTGTATCCATCAAGCCTTGTCTTTGGCTTGGTAAGACTAGTCTTGTTGTACTCATCTTTTTCATATAGTGAAGATTGATCCTTGTCTCGTGGACGTAGGCATAAATTGCCGAACCACATAAATTCTTGGTGTCCATTTTCTACTTTACTTTGTGCATTCTCTATCTTGTAGTACCGACATTCTTAACAAGTGGTATCAGAGCCCGGTTGGCTCGTAGTACGAGATGGAAGGAAGTGGCACTATGATCAAACTCACCAACTCCAACTGGGTAACATGGAAGCCAAGGATGGAGGACATTCTCTATTGCAAGGATCTGCATAAGCCAATTGAAGGAGATGCTGCTAAGCTCGAGAACATGTCCGATGCCGAGTGGAAGAAGATTAATCGCAAGGCAATTGGCACAATTAGACAATGGGTGGACGATTGTGTTTTTCACCATGTGTCTAATGAAACAAATGCTCGCGAGTTTTGGACGAAGCTTGAGTCCTTGTTCGAGAAGAAGACCCCATCCAAGAAAACCTTCTTGATCAAAGAGCTTATCAATGTAAAGTACAAGGATGGTTTAAGTGTAGCAGAACACTTAAACAATTTTCCAAATATCATCAAACAGTTGGCTACTATGAACATGATGATTGAGGACGAGCTGCAAGCGCTTTTGTTAATTGGATCCTTGCCATATAGTTGGGAGACCTTTTGTGGTGAGTGTAAGTAACTCTGCTCCTAATGGTGTTCTTATTCTTGATAATGTTAAAAATAACATACTCAATGAAGAAACAAGGAGAAAGACGTCTGGCACATATAGCAGCCAAGTATTTGTCACTGAGAACCGCAGAAGAAGCAAGAATAGAGGGCCTAAAGGTCATGGTAGGAGTCCTAGTCGATCCAAGTCAAGGTTCAGGGGTGCTTGC